TCAAGTCAAGTTTGACTTGACTTGGTCAAAAATTTTGGGGTATGGGTGTGGGTGTGGGTGGGTGTAGTTTTGGGTGGGATGTGGGTGTGGGTGGGTATGGGTGTGGGTGTGGGTGTGGGTGTGGGTGGGTGTGGGTGTGTGGTTGGGTGTGGGTGTGGTGGGTGGGTGGACATGAACATGGAGCGTGGCGCATGAGTATGAGTATCGTTTAGATCGACGCCCAGGCTCGCAGAGACACCCATACTCTAATGTTTTATCCTCTTTAATTCGTATTAGCAATCGCACAGAATACATAGAAGGCATACATGTATATTTATGCACGACTACAAGGCAAAAAATCAGAAGGGGAAAACATCAGAGGAAGAATCAGAAAAATACTCAGAGGAAAATAAGAGGCATATAAGAAAAGAAAAATGAATAAAATCAATGGTTAGATAAAGTAATTATTCTGAGCTTGTGGCGAGAAAATACCAATGAAAGCTAGTGTATGTATGTCATATCATTATAGATTATTGTAAAGATATATTCTATAATAGCACACGTTTAGGCTAATGAGAATGTCACACACTCGACTTTGACTATGATGCTTTGGATGAAGGGGTCGTTGGTTGCTAATTAAGTGTATGTTCACTTGAGTTTTCATTTAGTAGTTGAATCATAGCCCTTGCAAAACGATTGAACTCATGTGGAAGCAACTCGTCGCCTTCATACATTTTTGCAAACTGACGTGCATATATTCGTTGTTGGTTCACGCGATCGTTTACGAGAATTTCCGCATAATCAAGCATTTCTACTCCTGAACGAAATTTATAAAGATCCTGAATCTGCTTTGAAATGTGTTCCTGTGAAAACCATTGGTCAATATCGACAAGGGTCCATTTCTTGATAGAAGGAAGAATAGACCTATTCTCGCGTAGTTTTTGTGGTAAGTCCTTCTGACTTGTTGATATACTAGAAGGCGCATTGTGTGTTGGTGCTGTTAAAGTGAGCGAACAATGCTTGTTTGTGTTCGTTGATAGTTCCGCCTTAACTCGATCAATTAAATTCGTGATTTCGATAGTTGTTGGTTTCTTGAAATTACGAAAACGAATATAGGTCATAAGAGACATTCGAATACCTGAACAGATAATGAAGACTTAATATTAAATAGAATGCAAAGAAGTTGGACATACCTAGCCAACCCCACGGTTTGTAATCCCCTATGAGTATTGGCACAACAGGTTTTTTCAAACCATCAACTATATACGCAAATTCTTGATGGCAAGATTTACTCTGATAATAATAGTCAGATATGAAACAAACGATCGCGTTCGCTTGTTCAATACCATGGGCAATCTTTTCCCATTGATCTCCGGACTTACATTGTTGAATGTCAATCCAAATTTTGAACGTATTTGTATTCTCTAGTTCATGCAAAACATAATAACAAAATTCACTATCCGAGTGTGCATAGCTGAACATGATTCGTTGTTCATCATCAGGTACAGTTGGTGCACTTATACTACTGAAATGTTGAATAAAAGAAAGAATGCTGTGTATCTATGAGAAAATTAACCAAAGGTTTAGCAGGTTTCATGATTTCGATTTTCTTATAGTAAAGTTAGGACTTTTCATATTATCCTAGTTTCTACATTTATTGTTGTAATAGAATGCACAGTATAATATCCCTTGCTTGACTTTTTATCTCGCGACATATAGTTTTCGAAAAAAAGAAAAGAAATATTTCAAACCTCTTATAATTTCATTCATAGCTTACCTGTGAGTTATTTTTGGATCTAGATGTTGCGTAGGAATAGAATGATGGATCCCTATCGCTGTCGATGATTCTATACCCCAAGTATTCAGAGTTGTTTGTTTGTCTGCTACAGATTTGACACCAACCGAAGATATTTGCATGTTTAGATTGAACAATATACCATCAGTGGCTTTCTTGACACTCTCCATAGCTCGAGATTTGTACTGATGAATGATATGGCTACTGTCGTCAGTAGCTAAATGCTTGATAACATTCATTAATTGCACGTTCTGTTTCAATTCCTCTTGATGCTGAGATTGAAATGAGATACTCCATAGGATGTTAAGAATAGCTATGCATGTAAACTGGCTGCGTGGATTTTTACCCGTAATAGAGTCGCTAAAGCTGATGAGAAGATCAGCAAACAGTTTGATTGCAGATGGCATGCCAAAAGGTGATTTTCTATGAGAATGTACTAGAGCATATTCAATTGTACTTTCATCCACAACAAAAAGCTTGGCCAAGACAGCCAATGGTTCCGAAACATGAAATGAGCCAGAACTTGTACAAAAATTTTCATTTCTGGCAGCATCCATGGTCAGATGCAGTAGTTGATTGAGAATGCCATTCATAACTTTCTTATTATTTTCCAATTGTTCGCGATTAGCAAGTTCGGCTAGTGCCATGGTGGAAAGTAACGACAAGTGGGGATCATTTTTCACATCCTCTCTGCAACAAAAAGTTCATGACAACTCCCAAGTGCTTCAAGTCATTGTTCTATAGCAATGCAAAATGTAAATAATACTTTTGCGCATACGTGCATTGCTTTGTCATAATAAAGTGGCAGCACAACCCGTATGCGTCATAGTATCATGATTATAAAAGTTATCAACAAAATGTAATAGTAGATGATATTATTTATTATGGTCTACTTAATTCAACATCCAGAATAGTTTAATACGGTTAACTTTCACATTCAGTTTTAGAATACAAACAAATATCTAATTGATTCTGTGACGATATTGATAAGTAATTATTCGTAGAGTAGGGGTATTACTTTATATTTACTTTACTTAATAAATATAAATAAAGATTAAAGAATTTAAAAAATATTTTTCTTGAAAAATAAAGAAAACATAGAGATAAAGATACGATTTTTTCTATTCGTGAAAAAGCAAGAAATCCATGATATAACAGCAGAGTGTGGTAACTAGAAGAAGTCTATTCATTAAATGCACCTCGTTGATCGAAAATCCGAGTGTGCAGAATAAGAATGTTGAAAGAAAACTATAAATTGTTTACTTTATTCTATAAAATATTTTCTTGAAAAGAGCTTTCCGTATCGCCTAACTGAACTCGAGCATTACAAGCAGTCTTAAAATTAAATCATACTAGGAATTCTTTGTGACCTATCCTTATTTTAATAAGACCTCGATCAAAATGAATTTGCGACTTTGACCATGTAGGACATTTTATTTTGTGGATACAGTTTTGATCTGGGTTTGTCTGACTGTCTGTTATTCGTTTCGGAAGTGTAAAAATTTTTTCTCGCCGAAGAGATAAGCCAAATCTATGTGTTCGCTATTTAAGTTTATAGATTTTTTTACTTCATCGTATAAAAATATTAGCTATAAGTGATTACCTATTCAATTCGTATCTTTTCCTTCCCTTGATTGTTATCTTGTAAAAAAATCGAGATTTCTTTTAGGATAGTGCGTAACAATCCAGGGAGACTAGTTCATCCGAGTATAATGAGCATGTACTTCTGACTCGTATCCTTCTTCTCAATTTGATACGATCTATTTCTTCCCAGGTTCAAGAATCTTACTGTAAGATCTTGTACGAGTTCGTCGGATTTAGGAAGATTTTATCAGATATCGTAAGATTCTTATATGATTATTATAAAATGAGACAGATTTTATTATTTTTTTGTTAGATTTTAGAAGATTGTTTGACCTGGGTTAGATATGTTGGGTGGTTCAGAGGAAATGAGCCAATTTGAATCTTCGACTTTTCTCCATCCAGTCTCAACCTTTTTTTCTAATCTTTTCAGCAAACGACGAGCCTGAAATTCTCTACAATAATATGTAAAAATGTTTGATTGCAAATGCCAGTACGAAATATTGAAGAAAAAATATAATAAAGCTCTAACATGTCCAACTTTCTGGCAAAAAAAACAATTTTGTTTGTTGTTTAGCAGGCACTTTGTAGCATAATCATAAATAAATGTAGCCATTTTGTAGTACTTGAAAAGCTCTATCTATTAGACGTATTCAAAAACTTTGCGCACGATGGCCTAAAGCGCAGAATAAAGTTTTCTTTTTCCAAATTTTGCAAAAATCATGTATTTGGACAAGTCGTCTCGGGAAATTCAAGAAAATGCGCATACCCAGACCAAAGAATAATCTTTTGAGCTTCTTTTATTTTGTCTTAAAGACAAATGATTGATGCATTAGATTAGAATTTCAGAACTAGAGTACGTTCTTTGTTTCGAATGAAATCAGCAAAATAAGCAAAATTTTGACCACTTCGAACCCGAAACCAATAAACTGTTCTCCTGAGTCATAAGACTTCGTTGAAAGGAACTTCGCCCTGTACCACGAACAAGAGGAAACTTTATTGTAAAAAGAATGTGTCTTATCGATTTCTTAATTTGCAAAACTATGGAAAACAATCTAAAAATTTCGATCAAAAAAACACTTAAGAAAATTGGACGTGGTAGAACTTCACAATATTTTTTCTTCAATATTTCGATCCAGCATTTGAAATCAAATGTTTTTATATATTATTGTAGAGAATTGCACGGCGCGCCGTTTGGTGAAAAAATTAGGAAAAAAGGTTGAGACTGGATGGAAAAAAGCCGAAAATACAAATTGGCTCATTCCCTCTCAACCAACCGGTATATGCGATAAAAGTTATTGTATAGCTGTAGTTTCGCTCGAATAGTATTGGTTAATAATTTGTTTCTATATATAATTACAAGTAAACAAATTAAATTTATTTAGTATTATCATGGTATGGAACATTCAAAAGGATTCCTTCAGCATAAATATTATGCACATGTATTTCGATCACTT